GCAGACTGCTAGTCGAGCGCCCTAACCACCTGGCCATGCCGGGCCCAGGTCTAGAGACAGGCAACTGAACAATATGTTTGTTTGTTTTGACTTTCGCGCAAAGCTACACGAGGGCTATCTGCGCTTGCCGTCCCTAATTTAGCAGTGAAAGATTAGTGAGAAGTCAGCTAGTCATCACCACCTACCACCAACTCTTGTGCTACTCTTTTACCAACGAATAGTGGGATTGATCATTACTTTATAACACCCCCACGGCACAAAGGGCGAACGTATTTGGTGGAGCGGTGATTCGAACCCGCGACCCTCAGATTACAACTCAAATCGCCCTAACCACCTGGCCACGTCGGGCCTGAACAAAACAATTTCTTTTTAACTAATTGGAGAAGTATGTGAGTACTCATTAGGACCTGCACAGTTGTGAAGTGTCTGCCTTTCTAAATGACAATGAATATCAAGATGTTCTAAATGAACGTGTCCTAGTAATTAAATGGATTTTTTTGGACCAAGAAAATGTGTTATTCCAGTAAGATAATGCATAAGAATATATTTTTGGAACAGAATAATTTTGTTCGGTTCCAAAGTAATAACAACAGTTCTATGAAATATCTCACCTATAGCGAGGCTATCTTGAAGGGTTAGAGAGTAGCCTACTGACCGCCAGAAACTGACCGAGCTTTCGAAACGGAACCTATTGCTTCACTAAAAAATAGTGGCACTTATTTAGTGCAACATCGTGTTAGAACTGGGTAATTAGAACTCCCTTTATTGACTGCACCCTTGGTTGCTACTAAAGAGACATTGTTCACTCCCACCAAGACAGTATGCAAATGAACTGAATAATTTCATTACCATAGAAATAAAACTAAAAGTGTAATAATTTTATTTCTATGATAAAGAAATAGACGCTTACATTATGACTAAAAAGTGAAGTAATAATTAATTAGTTAATCACACTAGTTCAGAAAAAGTGTAGCAAGTGTTTGTAAAGATGGAATACTTCACGAACAGCTGACGTGTAAAAATGTAGTATATGTTTACACAAAGACAGGAAAACTCAAAGTGTGATCAGATACCCTTGGTCAGAAAAAGTGAAATACACAGCTGCGTCAAAAATTAACGCAAGTTCTGTTTTTAATAAACTTCATATAATACATATAATATGATGAAAAACTTATGCAAACAAATATTTGATATTGATATTTTCTGATAAAAAAACAAAGCTAATAAACTTACCAGCTGAAGCCAGACATTAGATGTCATTATCTGGTTTTTCTCGTTCTACAAATAGAAATAAACACACTTTCGTATCAATGTACGTTTTATCAGTTTTCTATTTTGCTGAAATCTTCTATATGTATTTTTTATTAAAAAAAGAAAAACATCGTCAATAGATCTTCATCCACTTGAACTAAATTAAAACTACAGGAACTTCTGTGTAATATTATTTAAAATGACCGGTATAATTACTTTCATGATAAGCATTAAACCTATCGTTCATAAAATTAATACTTGAAATGTCTCACTATGTTAGCTTAAAACACTAGAATGGATTATCAAATTTCTCGATTTTTTTATTGCAGGTACTGTAATTATTCCACTGAGAATAAGCTGTTGTGGGATTAAGTTATTTTCGTTAATATTGACGGAAAATCAATTTTTGTAAAAATGAAAATCATATATATATATATATAATGATTATCGAATTTACATATCTCTATCAATCTGTTTTGGGAAAGGGTGAACAATAATTATTTTTGTAAGCATCTTTTGATCGGTGAACTTATGGTCTCGTAAAGAAATGTTAGTTATCTTCGTTCTTTAACTTCTAACTTTTTTCTTTTACTACTAACTTACAGAATATTAAGACAAAATTGTTTCTTAAGTCTATTAATATCAGACCAGGCGTGGTTTAAGGGTTATAACTGGTTCTTAAACGTTAGGCTTAACAGTAACAGTGTGAACAATAAGCTACTGGTATTTGGTATTATTTATTTTCAGGCTACAAGTATAAATACAATGGTTAAGACTAGTGTAGGAGTTAAGCGTTCACAGTTTGTTAGGTGTTATGAGTGCAATATGTGAGTTGTATTAGAGAACTCGGGACTGGCATGTAATTATAAGGGAGCTAGTAACGAACATGTGAAATTTTTATGTAGAGTTTGTAGATTGAATTCATAATTTAAGTAGAGGCAATAGATAAAGAAAAGTGTAGACTGTGGGAAATGGCAGCAGGATTTGAAGAGGAACTTAAGTTTTTACATGCAAGGAATACATCAGCTAACAATGACTTTCAGGAAGTTAGTGTGTTTGTGTGTGTGTGTATGTGTGTTTTCTTATAGCAAAGCCACATCGGGCTATCTGCTGTGTCCACCGAGGGGAATTGAACCCCTGACCTTAGCGTTATAAATCCGTAGACATACCGCTGTCCCAGCGAGGGACTCAAGAAGTTATAAAGAGTACCATTAGGGCTAAGAGTAGCGAATTTAATAGTGATGAGCCTATTCTATTGAGCAACAAATTTCAGCCCTTGGCTTCTGCAGACGAAGATCTATTGGAGGGAAGGGAAATAAAAGGGTCAGAGAAGGATGATAAGGAGGTTATAGTTATATGTGATTCCTTGACAAGGCATGTTGTTAGGATAGTCTGTGGGGTAAATATGGAGAAAAGAATCAGGTTATGTTACCCAGGGGCACAGGTGGAGGATATAACTGACAGAGCAGGAGATATAATAAAGGGGCTAGCAGAGATGCAATTTTGTGGTGCACGTAGGGCTAATGATATAGGGAAAGGTAGGTCAGAGGAGCTAATTAATAAGTAAGGGGTTGATAAAAGCAGTTAAAGAAAAGGCCATTACTTAATTTAGTCAGGGATACTGCCCAGAATTAACTGTGGGGATGAAGTTATAAGTAGATCATTAGGGCTAAATGCTAGGCTTAGGTTAGTATGTAAGGAGGAGTAGATTGGCTGGTTGGACTTGTGGTATCACTTCAGTGGACGAAGGGAGGTTTTTGGAATGGATGGTTTACATTTAAATAAGATAGGGGCTGGCTTGTTTGCTAAGGCTATTAACTCAGCTGTAAAGGAAGTTTTAAACTAGGACTAGACATTGGTGAGGGCCAGGAAAAACTAAATGTAAAAAGACTAAGAGTCAAAGAAAAGTTTAGCATTGAAATAAGTATAGAATTAGTTAAAAGGTAGGCTTAATTGTTACTGTTGTAATTCTAGAAGTATACGTAATAAAATAGATGACTTTAGAGCACTGGTAGGAATGGAGGATTTTAAAATAATAGGAATAGCTGAAACATGGTTTAATGCAGGTGATTTTGATGACAGAAATTCCTTTGAAATGCAGGGTTATAGACTATTTAATATGGTAGAGTACTAAATAGAGGGGGGAGAAGTGGCTTCATATTTATAATATGAGTTACATCCCATTGAAGATGAGGATATCAAAGATAATAGCAAGGAGATTGAATCCATTTGGATTTCTATTAGTGGATATAAAGAGTAAAGTCTTTCAGTGGGCTTTTTTACAGACCACCAAATGATACTGATGAAATTAATGAAAAAAATTACTATGAGATTAAGATTTCAGCTGTTAATTTGTCATAATTATGGGTGATTTTAATTGCTGGCATATAGATTGGAAATGCTGGAGTCCAACCATGAGAGAGAAAGGTTTTTGAAAACTGTTCAAGATGGTTTTCTGCATCATAATGATACTGTAGTTATAAATTTCAAAAACGCAAAATTTGAATGGATGTGACAGTAATTATCTGTTGTGAATTGGGCAGCTGAATTATTTAGAGATACCGATCAAATGTTTGGTAAAGATAAATGTTTAAATATTCAAGATAAACAAATTCCTTATAGAAAGAAAAGGGTGGCTGCAAGTAATAAACCAGGTTGGCTCACAAAGAGTATAAGAGATAAAATTAAAGAAAAGCATCATAAGTTTGAGAATTTAAATTGACTGGTATGACAGGAAATTTTGAAGATTATAGAAGATCAAGCAAGTTGGTGAAACAAGAAATTAGAACACCAAAAAGGATGTATGAGAAAAGGTTGGCTGAAAATGTAAAAATTAACAGTAAGAATTTCTTAAGGTCTTGGGTGTTGCTAGCTGTGAAGAGGATGCTGCTGATTTACAAAAGGATTTAAATCATTTAGCAAGTTGGGTAAATAAATGGTAAATGGGTTTTAATTATAATAAATGCAAGATAATGCATGTTGGTTATCATAATTTGAATTATAAGTATAATTTGGATGGGAATAACCTTAACAGTGTCATGAAAGAAATGGATCTTCGTGTAATAGTTGATCAGTCTAAAGTCATCCAAGCAATGTGCTGTTGCTAGTGGTAGGGTTAATAGGATTTTAGGTTGTATCTAGAGAAATATTGAATACTAGTGTAAAGAGATTATACTTTCATTGTATAGGTCACTGGTTAGGCCACATTTGAATATTGTGTTCAGTCTTGGACTCCTTACCTTAGGAAATACATTGAATTATTGGACAGAGTTCAGAGAAGGGTTACTAGAATGGTGCCTGAGATTGAGGGATTGTCATACAAAGAAAGGTTGAAATCTCTCAAATTGTTATAGGGGGGATCTCATTGAGGTGTTTAAGATTGTAGAGGGAATTGATAGAGTTGATATATCTTTTGTCATACTTAACAGTGAGAATAGTAGAACAATGGGATACAAATATAAATTTTGGCAGGGTAGGATCCATTTTCAGCTAAAACAGTTTAATTTTTCTAACAGGGTGGTTGGCCTTCATAATGGGTTGCCTTCGGATGTTGTGGAAGCAGTAAATTTAAGTGAGTTTAAGTGAAAGCTTGATAACTATATGAATGATAAGGGGTGGCTTTAAGCTTTTTAAAAATTTATTTATTAATAGTTTTAATTTGCTTTAGAAGATGGAACAGCCGAGATGGACCAATAGGCCCCATGTTGTTCGAAAACGTTATGTCACAACTATGGATTCGAGGGTCCATGGTTCACCTCGTATTGCTGCAGAAAATAAAATTGAAAATTGAGCTACGCACTTTGGGTCCGTAGGTACACTGTGAAATAGACGGTCAAATATGGCTATTCGATTAGAGTAACCCAACAGTTAGCTGTTTACGAGCTCCATTCCCTCTGACGTATCAATTCACAGAGACGGATAGAGGAGTTAGCATTTATGCAGCTTTGCGCAAAAATTCGTAATAAACCAAACCTATTGATATCATAAGATTAATGCAATTTATAATTTAATAACATTTCTTTGTTAGAGCGATGAAAGAGAATGGTGGTCAAAGCTCGAATCTGTAGCGCTAACCTGATCATGGTATAAGATTTTACACCCAGAATGAAGAAGATACTTCATATTTCAATATATAAATTACGAAGTGAAGAAAACTTGAGAGTTAAATTTAGCAGGATAGTTATATTGAAAAGGTGCAGACTGCATGTTTGAATATATTGCAAGTTCCCTGTGCGTAATATTTACCATAAGTTATAAGGATTTTGAAGAAACGCACAATAAAACTTCTTTACCTTTTTTATGAATTTATTTTTTGTTATACTTATTATGTACGGAACTTAGTGTTTGGAAAAATTCAAGTTATCTGTTTTGTTCTGCGGAAATGAATAGGAAATCAAAACATATTTTTCTTTATGATGTTGTTATTAAAGAGCACTGAATGTGATTGTGGAAAATATTAGCATGTAAGGAAATATACGAGTAAATAGTTGTTCTTTTGTTTGCTATATTGGTGTGAGGAACTGGCTGAACCAATTTTGACGAAATGTAGGAAAAGAACCCAGTTGGACCCTTCAATGATCGGATTTAAATGGATAAACAATAGATGAACGGATCTACTTTGGCAGCCATCTTAATTTTCACTTTGGCGGACGCCATATGAAAGTGACATTTAACGAGTTTGTTCAGATATCTTTGCTGATCACCTGTATTTAGTAGACGTGCAGATAGAATGATGCACACCATTTCACAATACCTGTGAAGCAAAATGTAATAAACGACGCGTTAAGCAAAGACACATTTGTTAGTTTTATTTTAAACATATAAATGTATTTATTTAGTATTGTACTGTAACTTAAGAGTTTGAAATACATTAGTGTAAAAACTATCATATGTTTATAACACTCGAGAAAGAATTACATATAAGGCAAACGTCCATCATCGTGTATATGACTAAACTAGTTTTTCAAATTGGTAATTTCGAAGAATTCTCGCAACCAAAAAAAGCATATGGGTCGAAATAGT